ATTGGCGAGACCTTCTGGGCTATGGATGTGGGCTTTTGTCCAGTTCCATTCTCAGTGGTAGAACCTCATCAAGTTGAGATGTGTACAAGTCCTGTGCATGCTGCCAGAATTGATCTCAAAACTAAATCAATGTACTTACATAGACACTAATCTCAACTCACTTTAGCAATTTATCCAGAGTTTAAAACCCATAAAACATCAAATACTACAACTCTCACATTCCAGTTGTGGTTAATGAATGGAGTATAAGATGTGTTTCTATTTCTACACAACTGTTTCTATGTTCTAGCTTATATCTTTTGAAAAAAATGTTCATTTTAAAAATCATATCTACATGAAATTCCATTACATTAAATTGAAGTTACAGCAAACTGTTGCTTCACTGATAAATTTAAATTGAAGTAGTTAAAATTAGAGTCCTAACTTATGATCTTGAAAATAAATTACATTACCCTGTGCTGTATGTATGCTATATTAAATGGTAACAGCTTATATTTCATGTTTCTAAGGTTGTTCATAATTATATTCACTTTATAGTCAATGATGGCTTCACTATGATATATGAATAACAGACCTTGAGCAGGCATGATCTTTTCAGATACAAAGTTTATTTATTGTAAAACAGTTTTGTAGTTAAAGAAAAATCAAAAGTGGTGTATTTTTTTTTTTAAATCACATCTATGGTGGTCTATTTAACCTATAAAGGAGTTGACTTAGTTATCTTTTTAGCAATCTAGTATTGGCACATGACACTAGTAAAAAACTTGGTCCATTACTCTTCTTTCTTCTCTTGCTTAGTTGGTTAGGTCTCCTAATAAACTCAAATTAGTTTATATTTGAGTAGTTATATAAATATTTTAAAGGCAGCCATGCATTCTGTGAGAATTTTCTATTAAGTTCTTTTTTTTCTCCCCCTTCTTATCCTCACCTAGTACTGGAATTTGGGCAAGCCCTCTGACTACCACAGAGGAAGTGAGATGGTGATGATTCCTAGTCGAATATTTATGAGAAGTGGTCAAGTTTTGATTAATCTTCACTGACTTTTTGTGCTTGGGATGCCCCTTTTGTATTCTACTCACCATGTTTTAAACATCTCAGGTCATCCACAGTTAAAAAGTGGAAGAGAAGCAGGAAGATGAGACTGTACTAAGAATGTCCCTCTCAGATGACCCTGTAATAGCAGCCACTGCTGGCCATCTTTATGACTCTAAAGTCGGGATCTGTTTTCTTACATGAAGTAGAACTACCTGGTTCAGAATAGCTACAACACAGGATCATGAAAAAAAAAATAGTTATTTTTAAGTGACTAAAGTTTCTGTCAGAGAGATGTAACAGGCAAAACCTTTCTACCTTATCCAATGATGGCTAAACTTTTTATCCCTCCTCTTTTTCCACTGTTACTCAAGGTCAAACTGTCTCAATTCCATCTGTTCCTGGAGTCACTAGCCTGTTGCTAAGTACACAGGAATGTGACCACCTGAGACTGTTATATGAATCACAAGAAAAGAAGACACTGAACAGAACTGTAAATAAGGCAAATGTTTCAGAACTGTATGACTGTGTATTAAACTAGTATTAATACTCAATTTAAACAGGCCTATCCATATCTACAGAGCCATTAAGTAAATCTGGATTAATCAATAATCAATAGGATTAACAATAATTTAGGAGTTTTGGGAACATTCAACTTAAATCTCTCTTTCTCTCTTTTTCTCTTTGAGGATTAGCATGTTTGTAATGTAGTTACAGAATTAGGAAGTGGAATGAACAGCATAAGAAAAAAAGAAATTATGTAATTAAATATTTACTAAGTACGGGTTGAAAAAGTGATGGTCCAGAACAACATCGTAAACTCATAGGTGAGCATAACATGATGTCTTCTGGGGGAGGGGGGGTTGCCAGATGGCTCAGTACTTAAGAGCACTTCTATGTTCATGCATAAGACCCAGGTTCAATTCCTAGAACCCAAATGGTTGATAACAGCTATCCATAATTCCAGTTCCAGGGGATCTGATATCCTCTTATGACCCCTGCAGGGACTAGGCACACATCTGGTACACTAACATACAACTTGGTTGGAGAGTTATAAGCACATGTGTGTGTGTAAGCATATATATCACTTTATAAATATACAATAAAATAAGAAACTATGTATTCTGCATGTGCTTGGCCAGGAGAGAAATAAAACCTACTCACTATGGGCAATCTTGCTCTGTGACTGGATATGGTGTTCAAGTTCATCTACTGTGGTAACATCCAATTCCACATCCTGGGATTAGCAGATAACATGAGAGTGTTGCTATATTTTATTCAGGAATTTTGATAAGGTATATAAAAGAAGTATTGCTTAAAATGTTATTTTCATTGTTTAATTTCCAAAGAATTTTTAAAGCTTATTTTTTTTTCCTAGTCACATCATTATTAACTGTATCCAAAAGTGAGGAAATCTCCAATAAACCTAAATAGTTCTCCATGCACTTTTCCTTGCAGGTAAATTTATTCCAAAACACCTCTCCCTGGTACATTTATTCCTGGGCTACACATTCCTCTGTTTCAGAATTTCTTTAACTCAGATAGAAGAAGGAGATTTGAAAATCATGCAGAGGAGTGAAGAGTATTTATGTGAGTGGTTTAGAAGTAGTAATAAAATCCACTTCCCTCTACATTTTCAAATTGCACTTGGGTGAAATGTAAAGAAAACCATTTTCAGTTACAGAAAGGACACATCGAAAATGTTTATTAAATGTGTTTTGAAACCCTTCGGAGATGCGAGTCATCCACAAAAACAAGTATTACAACATAATGCTTTATTTGTGTATTCATACAGCCGATCTTTATTGTTCCAGTTCCTTTTGTCTGGAGAGTTTAAGTCTTAACTCTCCAAGATCAAATCACAGGCTTTCTGGAGTGAGAGGCTAGAGCCTAGGCGGAAGGAGGAGGCAGGGGGAGGAGAGGAAAGGCGGGGAAGGAGTAGGAATGAGAGGTAGGGAGGGAGGCACGGAGGCAGGGAGGGAGAGAGGGGAGGAAGGAAGAGAGTGAATGAGAATGCCATCTGGAGTGTGGTCTTTTACTTCTCAAGCATGTGGGTATCACCCTCTAGACTGTAACAAAGAGGTGACCATAGTGTTTTGGGAAGCTCTGAACAACTGGTGCTGCACAGCATGCCTCTCCTCTCTGTCGCCTTACCTAAGTTCACAGCGGGAGTTAGGACCTCTGGATCCCCTGCGAGCCATGCACCCGGCTTCCTTAGAGAGACCACAGGTTCCCCTGTATGTGCTGAATCAGTTTGCTAATGGGAGGGAAGGGTCCCATCTGCTGGAGACTTATCTCAGTCCTAAGGTTGCTAGCTACCCTGGGTAGGGTGTATGAGCTCAGCGAGGAGCAGGAAGACCTCTCAGCTATCAGCGGCAGGAGGTGCAGGCATGCAAGGGCCGAGAAGCATCTTCTGGTGCTGCCAAATCTTAACCTGGGCCCCAGGTGCTGGAGGACTCCAGGGGAGCTGCCTCTCCTCTACAGTGTTCTCTGAAAGCAGCGGCTAGAGAGCCCGTCCACGCGTGTGGATCCTCTTCCTCCCTCCAAGCTACGTACCTGGCCTGAGCTTTAAGACCGGTGTTCAGGAGGAGCCCTCCTCTCAGGGACGGGTGCAGACTGGGTTGCCTCTGCTCGCTGTCGCTTCCGCGCCTGCCTCACTGCCATCCTACCACCTACCAGTACTATGGAGGAATTCTCCCATTGCCCTCCCGCTCAGGGCGACTTTGACTCCGGAATTTCTGGCCTGGCGCCTTTCGGGTGAGCTCAGAAAAAAACCGGTCTCCCTGCCGGTTCCAGACTACCCGAGAAGAGAAGATCCCCTTGTCCCGGAGCTGCAAATCGATTTCTCCATCGGCGTCTTCCTCCTCCTCTCATTCCTAGCTTCTGGATTTGTTTATAAAGCATCTGGTAGCCCAGAGGCAGTGGCCACCTCTACCCGGCGGCTAGCTCTCCCCTCCCAGCCTCTAGGCTCCTGCACGTGGTAGATACCAGTATAGTCGCTAACAGGCAGGCGACAGCCAGCAGGAGACGGACTCCTGGGTGCCAGCGCCACGCGCGTTCTCGTCATCCTCACTCACCCTGCCCGCGCCCTCTCCCACTTGCCTGTAAAGCCCGGTCACACTCGGCGTTCGCAGCCTGCCATCCGTTCAAGAGGAGATCGGAAATACTGCCCTGGGTGTGCTGGTGATGCTTTGCTGGGTTCGTTCAGTTGCTGAAAAAGAATGGTAACATGAACGGTGCAGCGTGAGAGCGTCAGCGGCGGAGGAAGAGGTCGGGATTGATGGGTAGGGAGTACACTTCCCCGAGGCTTCGGTTCCCAGGACTGCTCGAGGAAGGGACGTCTTTGCGCCTGCACTTCCTGGCTGAACTGCGCTGACATCTGTAGCCTCCTTTCCGCCAGGTCCGCAGGCCGCCTACATGCTGCCTGCAGAGGAGTGGTCTGACAGCGCGTGAAGATCCTGGAGTTTGTGAACCCCTATCCAAACGTACTCTGACCTGGTTCTAGTGTGCCTGGATCCTGCCTGACAAACTGGCTCCAGAGGGAGTTGAACTTGAGTTCAGGTGGGTTATCCCAAGGCAAGCAAAGGAAAAGCTGTTCAGGGAAGATAAGGAAGGTGATGTTCCAATGTCAAAAGCGGACACTTTACTTACAGACACTTGACTGGACCAAGCCACTCCCTCCCATTCAGTTCTTGCTTTTAATATCCGACTCTACATCCCGGACCTCCCACACGAAGGGCGGGGGGATGGTGGGCGAACCAGCGACAGAAAAACACCTCCTATTTACTGACATATCTAGCATGCTCTTGACTTCCTCATAACTTACCATTATCCTATGAAACGATCGTATTTACTCCACTGCTTTATATTAATGGAGGTCAATAGACTTAATGATTTCTTCAGTTGAGTCATTTATTTCTAAGCCAATAGATAATGCAGTCGTCATAGTTTTCTGGGGGAAAGTAACTGTGCGCGTTTGTTCTGCAGATGGTCAACTCCCTCTGAACCCTGCAGATTGGTGCTGAGCACGCAACAAAAGTTTTTAGCTTCCCCTCAGTTTCTGGTGCTTCCCAGGAGGGAGGAAAGGACTTTGGCATTACAGACAAGAAGCAGTCAGGGAGACTTCTGTAACTTTCCAGCACTGTTAACCGTTTGCAATGAAGAGGAAACAGAAGAGATTTCTGCAAATGACTTTGTTGTTCACTGTGGCTTTAATTTTCCTGCCCAATATTGGTCTCTGGTCTTTGTATAAGGATAAACACCTGGTGAAATCGGCAGACCCTGCGGAGCATCAGGTAAGTACCAGCTAGAGCAAGGGTGGCAGAAGGATGGGTTAGGTCTGCCCCTGCCTGGGGAACATGGGGTAAAGGTATGAGGAGTTTCTCCCAAGTCCTCATAGAACTGAATTTACAGACTTCAGCGACTTTGGGCTTTGAGCAGGTCCTGGTTCCTAGCCAATGACATGGTGAATGGAACATAAAATGACAGAGAAGAATCCGAGGTCAAGAAGAGAAGGTATCCTGTCCTAATTGGTCATTGATTGATTCTTGGCTTGAAGGGGGTGGGAGCAGTTGCCTTTTGTGGGAGGCAGAAGTAGGTTTCTTACAAGTTCAGTTACAGGGATTGCTTTTTTTTTTTTTTCTTCTGTCTTGTATGCATGTCTATATTAAATGCATCTGGCCAACCAAGTCATTCAGATTTTAAAGCGGTTTTATAAAAATCAATTGATTGTTTGCTGAATTGTTTGTTATAATTTTTGCTCAGCCAGAGATTCTTATCCTGCGGAAACTTAAAGTCTATCTTTTGTCTCTCCTGTTGCTATTGTGGTCTGGCAGTCTGTAGAGGAAATTATTAAGAATGTACATGCACTTTCCTCCCAACAACTGATAAGTTTATTGCTAAAAGCTTTCCTTCATGTGGTAAATAACAGACAGTGTGGTATCTTGCTTTTCTTCTACTTAGCATGTAACTATTAGAATGCATATGTTTACAGCATGAGTTAATCCCATGCCCAACTAACTTTCATAGAGGATAAAAAGGCCAAATATCCTTCACAAAAATGCTGATGAAAATCAATATTGTTGGACTCCTGCTGATTAGTAAATACAGGTTGTACTAAGAAAGAAAAAAAGAAAAACTTTGAAAAAGGAATTGCAGCCTACTTCATGAAAACAATGTACTTTTCCAGTCAGTACCAAGCATTATCCTAAAATATTAATATAATTAACTTCATGAGTCATCACTGGGTAGTATATGCACTTTTTACATATAGAATAGGACCAAGTAATCCACTTCTGGACAACAGCAATATGTATTAATGACATTGGATATTTGTTCTTATACTTAACACAGCGTAATCTTGTATTTATGAGTGGATAGTTGTAAAATATATGGAAGTGATCTGATTTTTTTTTCATTATGAGAACTTGTTATCAATGTCTGAACTACAGAGACAAGCATATGCTCTGGGTTTTTTGGGGGGAGGGAATCAAATTTTGAAGAAGAATGTTGACATACCTTCATTTAGTTGATGATCTTGATCATTGTTTCTAGCTGGAATTTAGCTTCATATTGAAGCACTGTGGGTTTTGTCATTCTAATAAATCCAGAGGAGATGGGAAGTTTGGATGTGAACTCCCACCACATATTGATCACTTGTTTTCCCAATCTTTTACTCAAAGCAGAAAAATGTTAATAGTAGTCGTCAATGTGTTACTATAAAAATTTCCATCAAATTAGAAAAATAAAATATTTTATTTTATTATTTACTAATGAGTAATACAATCTGAAGCATGTGCTGGGCTAGTTAACATGAATCTAATTAATCGATCTTATTGAGATTGTATTAGCATTAATTCTGTCTATTGAGACTGAGGCTTAATGAGAAGGCTCTTTTTTGTCTATTAGCATAAAAAGTTACATTTCAGCTGTGACTAATTCTAATCTCCAGAGAAGTTTCCCTGTTTTTGACTCTCATGAAACGAAACTAATACTTAATTTTCTGTAATAAAACGATGGAGCTGACAGGTTTGAGTGGCAGAAGAGCAGTTAGTTGTACTTTCTCAAAGTTTCTTATAACATGGAGAAAAATGTTGATGTTCCTGATAGATGTCATGCAGTATAAAAATCCAATGGAAAAGTTTTGAAAGAATGACAGAAAGAAAACACTGATAAGGAGATTATTGTAAGTATTCTTATGTACTTTAGCTCTTCAACCCAAATAACTATTTCACAGTTTTCACTTTCTTACAGATAAAAATGATACGAAATGTTCACATCACTATGTAATTTCTGGATGAGTAAAAGTAAAATCATTAGTAAGTGTGGTTGAATAAAAAGTAACTTGTAATGCCATGTACTTCAGGATGTGACACTAGGGTGTACTGTTTGGCTAAAGGGTTTCAATTTAAAAATTGGTAATTTATATACTATAAAGCCTGTGCACAGAGGTTTCAATGAGTCAAGAGATTAAACCAATGTTAAATGTATTATTTAAATTCAGCAATTTATTTTCAAGAGTCTTTTTTTTTTTCAGAAATCATGTGTCACTACATTTATCTTGCAGTTGTAAATGCTAAGGATGAGAACAATATACAACTGGAGGCAGTGAGAGCAATAAGTACCACAGCTATTCAGAACACACTGCATGCTGATAAGAGCCACTCTATTTTCACACTTGTGTGTCAAACAACCAGTGGTTCTTGTTTACAAAAACTGAAAACTCTACGTAGATTAAAATAAATAAATTATTACAAGGAGTGGCAGAGAAATACCTCAAGTTGAGAAAGTTATAAGCCATGAAATCATCTGGATCCTACCCAAATGTCCACTGTCTTTTTTGATAGAATACTTCTCAAATGCTTTTTCTAACTAGCATCTAATTTAAATGGTATTTATTTTGCACTGAGATGAACTGAAAGAAGGTGATACATAAGACACAGGAGAAGTCTGTTTTTATCTTTTGGAAGTTTAATATTTAGCACATTTTGAAAATATACTCTATTATTACAAATTGTTTACATTTATAGTAGTTTTATCTTAAATATAGTATTCATAATAATTCTGCTAAATTTTTATTACTTCTAAACAAAGAAGTAACAAATTACATAAGAATTCTCAATTTATTCTTTAAAGGTTTTTTTTTAAAGATTCTTTTTTTTCACCATAAATCCAAAGAAGATTGATGCAATAATGTTAATAACATAATGCAAGCAAGTGCATGTTACAAAGTTGAAATTAAATACCTAAAATTAATCTTTTGAAGTTCTTTCTAGGATTTGAGATTTATTTACAGGTTTTGCATTATTATGATTATGATATTTTCAGTGGACTTAATTTGCTCATTTTCTCTTTTGTTAATGAGAATGTATCTTTGTTATGTTATTTATGTGTGTGTGTTTTTTTGTTATGTTATTTTAAAAATATGTCTGTATAGTACAACAAATAATAGTTTATTGATTTAAGTAGTGTATTTAGATGCTAATGACTGATATGTGATTGTTGAGTGCTGTATCTTACTTTTTTAAAATATTTTTATTTTAATTTTTATTAATTACACTTTGTTGTATCTTACCTTTTATTATTTTGAACCATCTGAAATGTTACTGTTTTTTGATTTAAACTGCAGTAATCTGCACTAAAACCTTGGGTCTTAAGTTATGTAATAGGATGATATGTAGAAAAATGCAATAATTTAACTACTTCCCCTCATAATATTATACATATTTTCCATATTATTTTCTCAAGTGTATGTGGAGACACTACCCTAAACACTTTCCTTTTTTAAAATATTCAAAACCAGCTTTAAACTAAGTTGGAAATGAGAGTTGCAAAAAGTAATGCCAGCCTGCTCACAACATGAAAGAGCTTTTGCAGTTTTGTGATATAAAATATAAAAGATGTAATTTCATAGTTTGTGTGCACAGATTTCTAAGAACTGTTCAGAATGAATAATTTCTAGAAAGTTATGCTTGTGCTTAGTTTTCTAGCAGATAAAAAAACAACAAATAAAACAATACAGCAAAAATCCCCAAACTAGATGCTCTCCGTATCTTTTTATTTGATTTCAAAATTTATGTTCATTTCATAGCTCTGGTCATGTTAGATATACAATGAGCTGCATAAAATCCCAAGAGATTCCCATCTTGGATGTCGAATTTTTATGAAGCAATCTCCTGTTTTCTGTGACTATGAGACATGTGACTGTGTGACCATGTGACTATGTGACTGTGACAGGTGACAATGTAACATGTGACCGTGTGACATGTGACCTTGTGACATATGACATGTAACATGTGACCATGTGACTGTGATATGTGACTATGGGACATGTGACTATGCCTAGCAGAAGCTTCTCTTCACCTTCCCCCACAAAATATCCTCTCTTGAAACAGCTTCATGTTTGCCCAGAACATCCACTGTTATTCATATCTTCATTTTAGGGGTAGTTTTGCTTTTCACAGAGAATATTATTTTCTGCAACTATAAGTGTTCATTTGTGTTTCTTTAATATAAACACATCAGATAATTGGTACCTGGCATATGCAAATTGTTTCATGATTTTGTTTTGTTAATTACCACAGCTGAACAAAATGTGTGTTCGTTTCCCATAAAACTTTTTAGATATTAGAAACCCTAAGGATAGGAAATGAAAGTTAATAGTCTTCACTACGCAACAGCATAGTCCACTCTTAACGTGATATAGGTGGAGTGATACCGTCATTTGACCCAAGCTGTTCCTTATTAGCTGTAATGGAAATTTTAAACTAGGGTTTGTGAGGAGCTTTTATAAAATTTACGGAAAATTATTTCAGACTCACTTTAGGATGGCACCACATACACCACTGTAACAAACCTTTTAATTATTTCCTGTGACACAGCAGACCATATTGTGATAAGTTCATCACACTTCCCTATGGGAGATCATGTGAAGCACTGTGTTCTGCCACCAATCTCATAACAATTTTTTTTAAAAAAAGAAAGAAAAATAGATTTTTTTCTCTTCTCATTTCTGAGTTACACATGCTATGCTGAATCAACTACTCTCAAATAAGTTATTATTGTAATAGGAACTGAATCAAGATGAAATACACATGGAAAGTATTACAAAGGCTGAGTTATTTAAGATATATGCAGAAGCACACTGAGTAAATTGTTAGAAGTAGCCATGACAACCTTTAGAAAATTTCCATCCATGCCTCTTCATAAATATTTTAAACCAATGGAAACCAGCAATAGGATAGCTAGACTCATCTCTCAGAAGCTAAGAATTGTACAAAAAAAAAAAAAAAAAGAC